AAAATACTCCTCCCAGTGGGGCATGGTGGCTCACCCCTGTAAATCCTAGCACTTTGGGAGGCCGAGGCAAGTGGATCACTTGAGGTCAGGAATTTGAAACCAGCCTGGCCAACATGGCAAAACCCCTTCTCTGCTGAAAATACAAAAATTAGGCGGGTGTAGTGGGGGAAAAAAAAAAAAACTCCTCCCTTTTCTACTTCCATATCTGTGTTAGGCCAGATTTGCAACGAAAACATCATCTTGCAACAGATTTAATGCACAAGCAAATATGAGGATTCAATTGTCTTCAGTTAGGCCAAACATTAAGGACAGTTACAAATGTTATAAAGTAATGCTATTTTTTCTCTCTAAATCTTTTTATTTTGAAAAATATATTAATTTTAATTTTCACCAAAAAGTATATTATTTATATTAATATGCGATGGTCTTATAACTCAATTAACTTATAATTAATATATTTTTAAATGTATCGTGATTAATTTCTGATATATATAGAGAGATAGATAGTACTCTTTGAGATCTTTAGTAATTTTTGAGAATATAAAGTTTTCAGAGACCAAAAATGTTTAGAATTGCTGAGTTATGATATATTGATAATATGGAGTTCTCGAAAGGGGGAAGGGTGGAAGTGGCGTAAGGGTTAAAAACTTACCTATTAGGTGCAGTGTTCACTATTTGGGTGATGGGTACACTAGAAACCCAAACCTCACCATTATGTATTATATCCATGTAAAAAACCTGCCCGTGAACCCCCTGAATCTACAAAAAAGTGGGGGTGCTATGCAATCATGGAAAAGAGTGAAGTAGATTTATATGTGTTTCTGTGAAATTTATTCCATCCTATATGAATGGACTGAAGCAAGTTGCATTATAGTATGTATAGTATGCTTCCGTTTGTATAAAAAGGGGAGAATGAACATATAAACATAGTTATATATACATATTATTTATGTGCGTGTTATATAAACATACATATACACCATTATTATTATGAATGAACTGTGTTTACATTTGCAAAAGTGGCCTAGGATTTGGGTACAGGGGAAAACAACTTCATGGTATAGCCTTTTCTATTTTTAATTTTTTTTACAATGGATTTATGCTATTAAAATTAATAATTTTAAAAAATAAGAATTATACAAAGAAGTAATAAATTGTCCAATATTTGATTAAACTGCTTAATAGGACAGAATTGGTCATAAACCTTAGAAATATTAACACCGAGTTTCCCACCTTTGGCTCATTAACTATTAAAAGAATGTCTCCTTTTTAGTTCACAGTTTCAAATTTTAACTTCAATCATAGCAAATAAGTAGTTTTTGTCCTGTTTCCTATCTTTCTACAAACATTTATTTTTCATTAGTGTTAAGCAATTTTACTGGCAGTGCTTATTTTTGTTAAAATGGAATGGCACAATTTCATAGGCAGGAAGTGTCTTTCCTTCTCACTGGATTCTGTTTATTGAAAGAGGGAAAGAAAGAAAAACAGAACATTTAGGACAGAAAAGATAAGGATCGCGGGGGCAGAAGTTACCAAAAGAATAAGGGGAACAAATGAGAATGAGAAAGGGATGGGTGACATTGGGAGGGGCATGAGGCCAGAGAGTGAAATGGGACCGAGTGAAGAACAATCTGGAAAGAAATCAGGAGAGGAGGAGGCAGAATTAGTGCAGGGTCAGAGAACAACTGGCTAGGGAGGAGTGAAAAGGGGAAAGAAAAGCAGAAACGGAAACAAGAAACTGAGTTGAAAACAAAACAAAACAGTGCATTGAAGAAAAGTAGCCCCCTCAACAAGTGACTGAGGGATTGTTGACCTTGGCTCCAAGAGAAATGGGAATAAAAATCTCCAGACAGAAATTCAGTGGAAACTGAGGAATTGAAGGGGACGTGACACTTGACAAGAGGGCAAATATTTTGATTTAGATGAGGCGCTTTCCTTTTAGATATAAATTCTGGGTAGATAGTTTCCAGGTGCCAATGATGTGTCTCTCTAACTTTCTGTCCCCATGTTCCATCTGGGAGGCAGAATGCTAGGGAAGGGGATGCTGGGCCAGCTGGGTAAAGAGCGGGAAAGGAAAAAGAAACCCCTGTGATCCCTTATCCTGTGAGGAGAAGGGAGGGCGCTGAAAGCATCCTTTCTGCACTAGCCGTGCAGCTGGAGACCGTGTCTGTCCCTCCAGCTGAGCAGCAGCCCAGCCACTTTTGACCCAGACAGTCCCTGACAAACAGCGTTCCACCCACCAGCCTCGGACTGTGGCCAAGGAGCTGTGGGAGGCGGGGACTTAGCAGAGCAACCTCCCCACTAGAAGACAAGGGAATGGAAATGTTGAGAGAGAAAGGCAAAGAGGGGACTGACAATCACAAAAGTGACATTTTACAACATAGAAAAACTTTAGTACCTAAATGGAAGAACAAGGATAGGAAGAGGAGCCCTCACTCGAAGGAACAAGTCAAAAATACACTCAACTGGGTTTTGACCTAAGGGTTTGCCTATGATTCATTTTAAGGAGTATTATTTATTCTGTGATGATAAAGAATTTGGGAGTTCTGTGTCAGCAGTTTGTCACTGTTGTTATCATCACCCGGATGCTAGATCGCCCGATTTTAGGGCTGAGCTCTGGCAACTGGAACCCAGTTCTCCAGGGTTAGAACTGTGTCTAACCCTGATCTGCTCTTTGCAAGCAGCTGGCTGTGCCATAGAAAGGACACCAGCAAGCTCTACCAGGCAACAACAGAACTAGCTGCACAGGAACAATGTACTGATCTGCCAGCGTAAGACATGTATTAGTCCACAGTGGATGCTAGGATGAACATCCACAGAAAGCAAGGATGGGACAAGCTAGTCACATTCTTGTCTTTTGGTACCATTATGACCTGTCTATACCATTTCAGTCAGGCAGAAATATTAGCATAATAGCCCTAATATTGGGCTAGCACTAAGAAAGAAGCATGTGTTCTCAAGTGATGCAAAAAGTAAGCAAAAGTTTTTTAAAAATTACCCTAAATATAAGTGATCCTGCTGGGTGCAGTGGCTCACGCCTGTAGTTCCAGCACTTTGGGAGGCCGAGGTGGGCGGATCATGAGGTCAGGAGTTTGAGACCAGCCTGGCCTACATAGTGAAACCTTGTCTCTACTAAAAATACAAAAATTAGCCGTGCATGGTGGCGGGCACCTGTAATCCCAGCTACTCGGGAGGCTGAGGCAGGGGAATTGCTTGAACCCAGGAGGTGGAAGTTGCAGTGAGCCAAGATTACACCATCATACTCCAGCCCTCCAGCCCGGGTGACAGTGCAAGACTCTGTCTCAAAAAAAAAAAAAAAAAAAGTGATCCTAAAACAGCTGGGGATGAATCATTCAACACAGTTGATCATTTGTCCCTTGAAACACTGGATTAATTTTATTGTAAGCTTTTTATGTGGGACTATATTAAGCAATGTAATTCAGTTTTCAGCTTCTTAAAAAGTAGATTCTGGTTATATTTTTGCCTTTCTTTATTAGTCAGTGTTAACTATTGTTAAATTTAAGTTATTTTCCTCTACAATTATATATTGATGATCTGGGACCCACTGAAGGATGTAGACTTGTTTGCCCCTATACACAATCTGTATATCAACCGGATGCTTCCAGGTTTTCTTTTTATAATTTTCTGTTCCTTTCCTTGTTGCCGCACTATCAGTAGCTACTCCACCCCTTCTCAACCCCCATTCAACTTGTTGGCTCTAATCTACTGCAGGCTTGGAAGTCAAATAGCTATGTGTACAAAAATTATGGCTAAGGTAACAGGAAATAGGCTCTGAATCAGTACGTGAGCAAAATATCTGAACTTTAGTGTGTCACATGTGTCAGTCTGTCGGTTTCAGTATGTGAACTTTGTGGCATTATTTGGATGCCTATAGTTATTTTTCTTTTGTTTTATATTCTCATCTATGATCTCATTAACAGAGACTTCCAGGTGAATTCAGGAAAAATGAAGTACTTTTAACATACATTGAGGAAATCCTAGCCAATTGTTGAGCTTTATTGACCACAAACTTGACAGTGGAAATAATATTTGCAGAAAGGAAGGGCAGATTATTTTCTCCATAATCGAAACACATTTATTACTCTAAAAACCCTAATTTGTGGCTATTTTACAAAATTTTAAAATAAAATTTTTTTAGATCTCAAAACTTTTACCAAAGATACCCACTATTAATATTATGGTCTTTCAGAAACTGCCATTTAAATGACTGCTGGTTTTCTTTTAAATGGGAGTAATAAGATGGAATTACAGAGCTCATCATTTTGTATATATGGTACAAGTTTGTAACATCTCTACATATCATAAATATTTTTGCTTTGCAACATAATCTCCATTAACAGCTGAATTATTGCATAGTATATTGAATGGGCATACTTCAATGTGTATATTTATTGGTCATTGTACATACCAGTGTATTTAGATTTTTCCACTTATTTTATGAATGTATGTATTTGATATCTGAACATATTTTTTAGCAGATTGTTTTAATTTTGCCTTAATATTTTATTTTCTTTTGTCAGTTTTAACCATACTGTATAGATTATACAAGATAAATTTATTTTTCTAGCAAGATGTATTTTACAAAGATATGAACTAAAAAATAGAATTCATTTGGATGGAAACTTTCTTGACAGCAACCTCTGTGAAAACACTAATCAAAGATATCTGAGGTTGTTTTGTTTACTCAGATGTCAAAAAGTTTTTTCTCTCTTTCTCATCTTGCTTATTTTAAACTTGGTCTTCCTTTTCTCATTCAAAATAATGATCTTTAAAAAGCTACTCCTTTTCTGAATCTCCTGTATTCTCCAACCTATAAATAAAATCCTTTGACTCCTTTTGAAGTAGCAGTGATTCAAGCCTTATACTTAAATCAGGTGTATTATTTTTATATTTATTGGTAATATATTACTTCATAGCATCCAAATGGATAAAGAGAATTTAGGTTACAGAATGTCCATGCTAGAGGCAAATCTACTCACCATTGATCTTCCTCACAGATATCTTGAGAAAGAATATATAGCCTTTATTCCTCTGTTTCTGAAGTACATGGAAAATACAGCAAGGAATTTAAAATCAGATTATATCACTTATTAAATTTATTAGGATTTATTAGTTTTACCCACCTAGCATGATTTTCAGTAAGAGGAGAAACTTCCATGTGGAAACTCAATAATAGATTTAAAATACCTGAGTCAGGTATTACACTTCTCTCAAAGATTTAAGGCGTCCTTGAAAAAGAGTCTAAATGCAATAAGTCAGTGTAATATAACCAGTCTGCTGTGGGACACCTTCACCATGTCAAATCTCCCAGTAACAGGCTTTCCAAACGTGGGCTAGTGACAAGCTTACCTAGGCCTCAGTTTCTTCATTTGTAAAATTAAATGATTTGGTTCCATGAGGAGATTGTAGATAAGCATAGGTGCTACTCCTGGTTAGAATCTCAAAGAGAGTCAACATTAGAATGTTGCTCTGAAAAAGCTAAGGGATGGGAAGAATATTCTTCAGTTATGACATAGACTCCACCACTTATACAGGTTGGAGGGAAACAATACTTTCTCATTTTCATGATTACAGCTGCTGGTTTCATTTCCTCCTTTGTAGGAACCCCCTGTTTTGACGTACAGGAAGGATGCTTGAAATAGAAGCGAAAGAAACTCCAGGGCAACATAGGAAACACCAAGTGAATGATATGCCTGCCAGGGGACCTAACTCTTTATCATTCTGAGTAATTTGGAAGGAAAGGTATTTAACAATGTCTACTTCCTCAAATAATACCTTCCTTAGGTGAATGTACTGCCTAAAAGATATTAAACATCTGAGTCCAAATTTCAAAGTAGAATTTCCCAAGGAATTTTCTTATAATAGAAATAAAGGTTGTCACCAACTATCAGAGATCAATTGAAATTTTTTTGTTATAAATCCCTATCAGTTTACTATTAGTAATTAAATAGTTAGGGGCCTTTGAGTAGAAAGACTGTCAAATGAGACTGGCGATACAGATGGCTTGTAAAGAGAACAGATTCACCCAATATTTCTTAATGAGTAGCTAGTTCAAAGCAATCCAAAGCACCTTTATTTTGCCAAGCATGTTTTTGGTATGGTTATGGACATGGTGCTTCTGCAAAGACATTGCCCCAAATTCAGCATCTTTCTGCATGGTTGCTTATGCTTCAAGCTGTTTAATAGCCAGCCACAGTGCCCTCCAAGGTTGGGCCTAGATTAGCATTTTTAAATCTTTTTTGATCACAACCCACAAAAAAAATGCATCCTAAACCATGACCCAGGACTCCCATATGTGAATGTACGCTTGTACGTATATCCATACCAGTCAGAATGGTGATTATTAAAAAGTCAAGAAACAACAGATGCTGGCAAGGTTGTGGGGAAGTATGTACACTTTTACACTGTTGGTGGGAGTGTAAATTAGTTCAACCATTGTGGAAGACAGTGTGGCTATTCCTCAAAGATCTGGAACCAGAAATATCATCTGAACCAACAATTCCATTATTGGGTATACACCCAAAGAAATATAAATCATTCTATTAAGAAGATACATGCATGTGTATGTTCATTGTGGCACTATTCACAATAGCAAAGACATGGAATTAATAGAAATGCCTATCAATAGACTGGATAAAGAAAATGTGGTACATGTACACCATGGAATACTATGCAGCCATAAAATAGAATGAGATCATGTCATTCGCAAGGAGGGACATGGATGAAGCTGGAAGCCATTATCCTCAGCAAACTAACACAGGAACAGAGAACCAGACACGGCATGTTCTCACTCGTAAGTGGGAGCTGAACAATGAGCCAGGGAAGGAAACAACACACACTGGGGCCTATTGCGGTGGGGTTGGGGGAGGGAGAGCGTTAGGAAAAATATCTAATGCATGCTGGGCTTAAAACCTAGATGACGGATTGATAGGTGCACCAGACCACCATGGCACACGTTTACCTATGTAACAAACCTGCACATCCTGCACATGTACTCCAGAACTAAAAATACAAATTAAAAGATAAAAAAAGAAAGCATATCCAGAAGGAGTCTCAGGAAATGATACTCTTACCAGATAGGATGAGATTTCCTGTTTTAGCACATGTTGCTTTATTTGTTAAAATGCTGTGATGACGCACTATACTGACGATACAATCCACAAATAGGTTTCAGTCTACAGTTTGAAAAACGTTGATCTAAATTAATAATTATTATGATAATAAACATAACAACAGTGAATAACAATACAATAAAAAGTTTTAACCAACAGAATCCTGGGTCTTCTTTAGAAGAATTAGTTATTTAAGAATGACCTTGAGCAGGAGATATAGAGGGACTAATAGTGTATGAGGATTTTCTGAAAATTAATAAAATTATGACAACCACTTTGGTGACTCTGTCTCATTCCACCTGTGTTCCTGATTCATCTAAATGCTGTTGCATCAGATGTTTGAAAGATCTGCTTCTATATATACTCTGATGTTAACTGGACTTGAGAATTAAAAGATAATTTAAATGTATAACACATCATAATTTTTTGAGCTGCTAAGAAAAAAAAATGCTGCTAATTATGACCATAAAATCCCATGAGTTCTATGACATTATGAAAGAACACTTTTTTTGAAAGTGTTGCTTTTAAAATGAACACTGAACTAAGACTCACTTGGGGGATCGCCTCGGGTTTTCTGAGTCCTGTGTTCTTCCCTTCATAGGAGAAATGGGACTTTGCTTATCTGTGGGGAATATTAGCTAGGATTGTATTCTATTAATTTTATGGAATTTTTTAGAATTATAAACTTGAAAGCCATCCTTAGTGACAATCTGAATCCTACCTCCTCATGTTACAGTTGAAGAGTCTGATACCTAGAGAGCTGATGTGACTTGCCCCAGATAACATAACAAAGTAGAAACAAAAATAAGTTTAAAAGAGAAAAGAGGCCAGGTGTGGTGGCTCACGCCTGTAATCCCAGCACTTTGGGAGGCCAAGGTGAGTGGATCATCTGAGGTCGGGAGTTTGAGACCAGCATGACCAACATGGAAAAACCCTGTCTCTACTAAAAATACAAAATTAGCCAGGCGTGTTGGTGCATGCCTGTAATCCCAGCTACTCAGGAGGCTGAGGCAGGAGAATAGCTTGAACCCGAGAGGCAGAATTCATGGTGAGCCCTCCAACCTGGGTAACAAGAGTGAAGTGCGGTCTCAAAAAAAAAAAAAAAAAAAAAAAAGAAGAAGAAGAAGAAGAAAGATATGAGAAAAGAAAAGAAAACATTTAGTTGTCAAACTGGAAAGCAGAAGTGGTAGCCCAGGGAAAATCAGGGATAGAACCAAAGCTTCTGGTCCATTTGTTATATCTCCTCAGCTTTTTATATGGAATTGGTCATATTAAAAACAAGATCACTTAAAAAAAAAATAACCATAGGCTCCTTCCATCCTTTTCATTTAATGTTTACATTCTGTAAAGAGATGTAAATTATTGCTGGAAACTCTTTCTCAAACATCATTTAAATTATGATACTAGTATTTATTTTTCCTTCCTAAGAACTCAGGAGCTGCTTTGGTTTCAAATCAATTATTTACTTTCTGTCAGGTGATCAGGATCTTCCACTATTATCTTCATTTGTTTATTTATGGTTTATCCCCTACACACTTTCTATAAGAATTAGCTCAATCAGACTTTCCACCTATTTATCTTAATCCAGTCACACTACCCTATCTACCATTTCAGTAAATCCCCTGTCATCATCTACATGTGGTGTGAAACTTTCCAGTTCTGTAACTTTACAAATGCTCCTCATTGTTAACTTCTGTTTTCTGGTAAATACAACATTTATCTTCTTTGGAAAACAATCTTTAATTAACATTGTTTTGTGGTCCATACATGTTTAAAACATATTCTACATTCCTTTCATTTTTACTCAACAATTAACTTGAAAGATGCTTTCTAACTGATCTCAGCTTTTATATGTTGTGTTCCCTTAATGGTACCACTTTTGCACTGCCCTGACTTCAAGGATGATGCTCCATCTAAAACGTTTCCTGACTCATGTGGTCCCTGTCCTCAAGGAGCTAACAATTTAGTAGGCAGGAATATTCACAGACACACACACACACACACACTCCCCACTGAGCTACAGGAAGACACATGCACAAAACAGCAAAGCTGTGTTCATGCTTATTCATAAACGGTTGGTTCATCACCTCATGAATAGCAGAAGGCACAGAATATTTGGCTAATGAGAGACTCTGACTTCGTCTCCCAACACTCACTATCTGCATCTTAACATTCATCCAATACTTAATTGTCTCCAGTTCTATTGGGGGAAGCCGCCCCCAAGAGTTAACGTGGGTTCTTTTCTATTTCCCTAAGCATCAGCTGGTCTGAGAAATAAAGGGAAAGAGTACAAAAGAGAGAAATTTTAAAGCTGGGTGTCCGGGGGAGGCCTCACATGTTAGCAGGTTCTGTGATGCTCCCCAAGCCATAAAACCAACAAGTTTTTTTTAGTGATTTTCTTTTTTTTTTGGTTTTTCCTTTTTATTTATTTATTTATTTATTTATTTATTTATTTTTTATTATTATTATACTTTAAGTTCTAGGGTACATGTGCATAACGTGCAGGTTTGTTACATATGTATAATAGTGCCATGTTGCTGTGCTGCACCCATCAAAAGGGGAGGGAGTGCATGAATAGGGTGTGGGTCACAGAGATCACATGCTTCGCAAGGTAATAAAATATCACAAAGCAAATGGAGGCAGGGTGAGATCACAGGACCACAGGACGGGGCAAAATTAAAATTGCTAATGAAATTTCGGGCGCACGCATTGTCATTGATAACATCTTATCAGGAGACAGGGTTTGAGAGCAGAAAACCTGTCTGACTAAAATTTATTAGGCGGAAATTTCCTCGTCCTAATAAGCTTGGGAGTGCTACAGGAGACTGGTGCTTATTTCATCCCTTTGGCTTTGACCATAAAAGACAGCCGCCCCCAACGGGGCCGTTCATAGGCCTACCCTCAGGGGCGCATTCTCTTTCTCAGGGATATTCCTTGCTGAGAAAAAGAATTCAGTGATATTTCTCCTATTTGCTTTTGAAAGAAGAGAAATATGGCTCTGTTCCGCCCAGCTCACTGACAGTCAGAGTTTAAGGTTATCTCTCTTGTTCCCTGAACATTGCTGTTATCCTGTTCTTTTTTCAAGGTGCCCAGATTTCATATTGTTCAAGCACACATGCTCTACAAACAATCTGTGCAGTTAATGCAATCATCACAGGGTCCTGAGGCAACATACATCCTCCTCAGTTTACGAAGATGACGGGATTAAGAGATTAAAGTAAAGACAGGCATAGGAAATCACAAGGGTATTGATTGGGGAAGTGATAAGTGTCCATGAAATCTTCACAATTTATGTTCAGAGATTGCAGTAAAGACAGGCATAAGAAATTATAAAAGTATGAATTTGAGGAACTAATAAATGTCCATGAAATCGTCACAATTTATATTCTTCTGCCATGACTTGAGTCTGTCCCTCCATTTGGGGTCCCTGACTTCTGGCAACATCTCTCCCTTTCTTTTTATATAAACGTGCCATGGCGATGA